GCCCCTTGCCCCCGGTACGTGGCCGGGGGAGCTGAAGCACGGTCTGCATCCTACCTGCATGCGTGGTGGATGGAGGCACAAGGTAAGTTCCCGCACAGAACTGGGGGTGCCTCGGGGCCAGCTAGGGTGGACAGAGGCACGGGGTAAGTTCCTGTGTGGAGCTGGGGGCTCCTCGGGGCTGGGCCGGGGCGGACGGAGGCATGGGGTAAGTTCCCGTGCGGAGCTGGGGGCACCTCGGGGCCGGGCTGGGATGGATGGAGGCACAGGGTAAGTTCCCGTGCGGAGCTGGGGTGGGCAAAATGATCACGGCCAAGATGCATTCTGGGATGTCTCTTCATTAGCCACATAGCTGTAGTGTGCAGCATTACTTTTAGAAAACTATAAAATGTGGGGAAACACCATTGGGTTAGGGATTTTTTTAAAGATGATGAACTGCCAAGTATCTATAGATGATCAATATTCTAAGTGAGTCAAAATAGATACATCATCTAAGTCTGTCCTATTCTGGCTTGTGATATTTCCCATTGCCAATCAAGTCACTATGAGCTAATTACACAAAAGATTGCTTTCTCTCAGAGGTACCCAGAAAACATTTAGATTATCAAATTAATGTTTAATGTCAGAGCCTGAAAAGTATTGGCTCTTTGTTTCTCAGAGGGGAGGAGCAGTAAAAGGAGATCTTTATATTGGATCTACAAACTAAAAATACTGCATTACTTTGAGCTTTTTCAGGGCAAAGAGTAGCATGTATTTTTTGTGTTCCATGTTTGTGAGTGATAGAGAGAAAGGAACTGGGGGGGAAGAGGGAGGAAGATAGATGACAGAATAACCAACTACTGAGTTTACTGTTTGTTACTGCTGCTCCTATTGACTATTTCCATCTTAAAACATTCACTTAAAAATCAGTAGCCCCATCCCTTGAATAAAGCAGTGTACAACTTTAGTGAGATCATGAGAAATAGTTCTCTCTCTCAGTGCTAAGGGGCAGACATCATATGAACATTTTCTATATGGATGTTCGGTGAGTGCATTCTGATTTTTTTCTTTAATTTAGTGGGTAGGAGCCTGGATGGGAGTAATATAAATATATATGTATGTACTTATGGGAAATACATACATACATACATACACACACACACACATACATACCTGCACATATATATATATATACACACATACATATACACACACACATATATATACATATATATGTATGTATGTATATATGTTTTTGTTTTTGTCAATGTTTACATGCATGCACGCATGCATGCACATATATATGTGTATTTGTGTGTGTGTGTCTTGTGTATGCATGCCATTTTAGAATGAAAATGTAACATAAAGTATTGGAAAGATCTCGTGGAATAATGTATACAATTCTGGATACCAATCTTCAAGAAATATGAATTCAGACTGGAACAGATGCAGAGAAGTGCAATCAGGATGACCAAGGGGATGGTCTAAAATAATTTCCCTTGTTTAGCGTATGGGACACAGGGTATAACAGGGAAAAGGATGGCTTTCTGTAAGTATATCAAGGAGAGGGCTTAAAAATAAGGGAGATATTAACACCTGCTTAAATGAGAGAATCATGTTAGGATGCAAAACAAAATGGTATATGAGCTGTCCATTAATTTGTATAGGCTGAGACAGTAAATATATTATAAGTGTGTTCAAACCACATTGTGCTGTACTTGATGATCCCTGGGTTCCTTCCAGGCCTATGTCCTCTGGGCCAGAATCACAAAAGAGCTGATGTGCCTCAATTGCAATTAAGGTGAAATGTTGGGTGCCTACATCCAAACTTGCAAACATGAAAGCCTCTGTTAGCTGCAACCTAACCCTGGATGTGCCTAGATTCAAGGCATTTTCATGTTTGAATGCAAAGTTTCCCAAGTGCCTAGATTGATCTTGTGTGCAATGTCAGGCCAGCCCTTGGCTCGGTGCTGCTTTGCACCTAGGTTATGCCTCAATTCAGTCAGGCTCGAGATATTATGTGTTTTTGTGCCTCAGACTCCTGAGAAGCCCAATCTAATAGGAGTTCTCGGAGAATGTTTAACACATACGCACAGGACTGGGTTTCTCCCAAAAATGATGGTGTCCACAAGCTTGTTTCTAAACATGGCTGGAGGCGGTATTGGTGCCACATTCCTTTCAAGATGTCACTCACTGATTAGCTCACTTGCACAGGACATTGGACACCGGTATTCATTTCCCTTCTCTGCCTGAAGGAGCTCAGACTTATACTCCACAGGAGACCACTCAAAGCCCCAAAGTCCTGAGACTGAAGCCGGTGGCACTCTAGTCTTTAAGGATGCCTAGATTTGGTTGTGTCCATGAGTACCTAAGTCCCCAAAATGCCATTTATGCAGTGGGATGCCATTCTACTTCAGGGTTAGTAGGAAGCCATCCATGTGCATAGGGATACATGGCACAGAAATAGTGACCACCTGTATACAAGTGGCATTTCTGGGACTTAGGTGACCAAATCTGTTTATCTGGGAGCCCAGGAAAGAATGCAGGGCCACCCTAGGTGTTAGTTTTGCTCTGGGTGTCTCCTTAGTTCAGGTCTGAACAGTCAGGGCTGCTCTGTCTCTTTTTCTTCCCAAGGATGGTTTCATGAAAAACACAGAAGCAGCCCCTGGAGCAGGCACCAGAACCGAGGATTCCCTCCTTCTAGGTGAGTCCCCATACCATGGCTGTACAGATGCAGACTGCCTCTTCCATCCTCTGATTTCTTCCCTCTGGTCCTTTTCACCTTGAGTCCTTGTCTGCACAGCAGCACCGGCTCCACACAAGGGATGGCTCGCATACCATAAAGAGAATAATCCTTGATCCCTAAAGGACGCCCTTGTGAGGGAACTTGAAAGTGTGGAGTGAAAAAAAAGTTGCCAGATAGCCAGAGCGAACAAATAACTGCTAGCCCCAAGGGGAGCCACCACTGCAGAGGGAAGGACTGGGCGCCCCACAGCTCAGGGGCTGCATAGCCTGCCAGCATCTTACACAAGCAGGCTCCACTGGGGCGGGGAGGAAGGCGAGGATCCCAATCCTTTTTTTTTTTTCATAGAGCCTGTCTGCCTCTCCCACAGCCAAGGGGTGAACTGCTTGTGGGCCCTGGGATGTGGGGGGCCCCAGTCCTTCCCTTTCCAGGAGCAGCACCCCCTGGGGCTGCCTAGGTGGCCAGCTAGTGCGTGCAAGCTGCCCCAGCCCGACCCGACTCGTCCCTGAGCCCAAGCTGGGGCAGCATCCAGCCTGCTAGCAGCCCACCCAGGTGGGCCCAGAGGGTACCACCACAATGGAGGGAAGGGACGGGGCCCCCCACAGCTCAGGGGTCACTTGGCCCACCAGCAGCTCACCCCCCAACCATGGGACACACAGGCAGGCTCCATGAAGAAAAAAAAAAAGGATCAGGCCCCTCAGTATAACAGTGATGGAAGCCCTAATCATCACAATTAAAATCCCACCATTTCAATGTAGGGGACTAAACCCCCGTCACATGTACAAGTGCTCTTATATACTCAGTTAAGACATAATGAAAGACGCAGTCAGAATATAGGAATCAGAGAAAATAACAAATTAAGACGTGTGTGTGGTTGCTTAAATTAGTGATTTTGCTTTTAGGATTATATGAATCATTTGCACTAATAATGGTCTTTCACATTGGCGATGTGTAGGGGGTGCACACGGGTGCACGTGCACCCCCTGTGATCGGCCATGTCCCCCGACCAGCCAGAAAACTGGAAGTGCACTGGGGGATACCCCCCCTGGTTGGCTATCAGCCACTGGGGAATCCCCTTCCCCCATTGGCGATCTGGTGGCCCCCCAGACTCGGGATGCACCAGTTGCCCATGGTTTTTCATGTATGTGGTCAAAGCGAGAAATCAAGGCTAAAACAATTACTCCTAAGCTTGCATCAGAATCCACAATCTATACTGGTTTTGTTTATTTTTAAAATTGCAGACCTTTCTTATGCAAAGCTTCATATGCCTCTGCTTTAACACCCCTTCTATGCTGGGATAATTCCACTGAAGTCATGGGAGTTGTACTTCTGGAAAGGTGTAACATGGAAATAGTGAGACAGACATATTGATGCCACACACTAAAAGAGAAGAAACATTGACTTTGAGTCTGGTATGTTTCGGAAATCATCTAAGTATAACCACACTAATTGGAAGATGATTTTCAACTTCGCTTCCATATTTCCCCCTTTTGCAATCCCTCACAATTGTCTTAGAGTAAAGACTGTGGGATTGTGTTTACAGAATGGGTGTATGAGCTATGTCTTTAAAAACTTTCTTTTTAATGGCTCACAAGAAGTTGAATACTTGAAAACTCACTGGACAAGTTGTCAACACGTGGTTATGTACAGCAAATACAAAAATGACACTAATTCATTCTATCATGTTCACTTAGTTGGAGTGTGAGCTGAATATATGACCTAGCACAGAGTTGGTTGTCATTTTTCTGGTAAAATAGTTCCACAGAAAAATCCTTATTCATTGCTGCTCAACATTTCTCATGCAGATCATCTCACAATTAATTACTCTTTCTTGAATCCAAGGCAAGTTTATGATGGAAATGCTTGGTAGACCCACCTTGTATGGATGTTTCCAGGCTTCCTTGCCCTGGGAGGGCAGCTTTTCTGTGGGCCAGGAAGCATTAGCAGACCCGAATCCTTCTGCAACAACTGTTCACCCAGTGGGTCTACCCACAAGGCTTGACCTAACCAGCAGATGAAATGTCCATGGCCCAGGTAGCCAGAGATTTTACGGTGCCCAGTTCTTGACCATTATCCAAATTTTCTAAAAGTGAGATTTCCTGTGAACTGGAAACCTGCCTCTGTCAGTTGGGTTGTTCAGGCCCAGCAGCTGGCTTTGAAAAATGCATGTGGTCCTTGTACTCCTGTCTGCCCATACTTATTTCTGTCTTTTGGAAATTCCTTGCACAGTCATTACGTTAATTCCAAAAGTTTTGCTTTTCTTACAGGTCAGTCCCTAGGAATGGAAAACCAAACCACTGTGACTGAGTTTATTCTCTTAGGACTTTCCAGTGACCCGCAACTCCAAATTTTACTGTTCCTTGTGTTTTTGGTGATATACCTAATCACTCTAGCGGGAAACGCAGTTATCATGTTGGTGATACGAATTGATTCTCATCTTCATACCCCCATGTATTTCTTCCTGTCTCATCTATCCATTGTTGATCTCTGCTATTCCTCAGCCATTGTCCCTAAGATGCTGGTGAATTTACTAGCAATGCATAAAACTATTTCTGCCAATGCTTGTTTTACCCAGATGTTCTTCATCTTTCTCTCAGGCACTGGTGAAACATTCATGCTCTCAATAATGGCTTACGACCGGTATGCTGCCATATGTAAACCCCTGCATTATGTGAGGACTATGAACAAAAAAATGTGTAGGCAGCTCGTGGGTGTTGCCTGGACAATGAGTTTTATTGATTCATTGGTAAATACAGTTCTGATATTAAAGTTGCACTTTTGTGGGTCCAATGAAATTATGCATTTTAGCTGTGAGCTTCCCCCACTGCTAATGCTGTCATGCACTGAGACTTTCAAAAACAAAATAACTCTTGTTTCCTCTGTCCTTTTCATTGGTGTTTGCACTTCTCTCATCATGTTGGTTTCTTACACCCATATCATCTCCACCATCTTGAGGATACGCTCCGCAGAGGGTAGGAGAAAAGCCTTCTCCACTTGCAGCTCCCATCTCATCGTGGTGGGTTTATTGTACGGAACAGCTCTTTTTCAGTACATGAAACCAAGCTCCATTTCTTCTGTGATCCTAGATCAAGTTTTCTCCATCCAGTACAGCATTGTAACCCCCATGTTAAACCCCATTATCTATAGTCTGAAAAATAAAGAAGTGAAAACAGCCTTGGGGAGAATTTTCAAAAAAAAATCCAGTTCTCAACTGTTGTAGTAAAAACATGATTTTGAAAAGTAAGTTTCAACATTTTATTTTAAAATAAATACTATTTAAAAGAACAGACATATGGGAAGCAGCTATCTGGATGATGTTAGAACACAATTGGCAATGACTTTTATTCTAAAAATATCCTGGGTTGTACCTGCCACTGAATGTAAAAAATATCACAGGAAGAGAACGAACGTAGCTAGACTTTAAAACATTTTTTAGGCAAAGTCAAAGTAGCTCAGTTAAGCCTTAATGCATCTTGAATTATAGCCTATTTTGATGGCAGTTCAATTAATAATTCAGTATACAGTCTACACCAAACATCTCTACTATTAAAAGTGGCTGATCATGGATGCCAGAATAGTAGGGCTGTGCGAAACTGGCACTGTTCTGTTTCACCTTGAACTTCAATGGTTTGAGGGAAGAGTGTTTTGTATTGAATTTCACTTCAAGATGAAACAGCTGATCCGTTCTGTTCCTTCGAAACAGAAAAGCTGTTTTGACGCCATTTTGAGTTTTGCTGGGGATTGGGAGTCAGACCAGCTGCATCACACCGGGGTGGGAGGCAGCTGGGCTGCTTCCCAGGGTCCCGTGCTTGATTACGCCGGGAAAAATATTTTATAACAACACATTTTCTGAAAACTATTCCACAGCAATATTAGTTTATGATTTGTACTTAAAAGCTAAGGGGTTTTAACTTCAGTTTTCACAAGTGGGGGCAGCGAACAGATGATGAGTGCCATTGGCAGCAAAGAGAGAAGGAGTCAAAACAACCTAGAGTACTAAAAGAACAAGTTAGGGATTACTTAGATTGCTTAAAGTTGGCAGGTGCAGGAGGAATGCTCCCTAGGGTACTGAAGGAATCGGCAGAGGTAAATTAAGAACCTTTGGTTAGATGTTTTGAGAGCTCCTACAGGTTGGGTCCTAGATGAGTGAAAAGCAAAAATATAGTGTCTTTAAGAAAGAGGAGGAGGATCAGGGGAATTACAGACCAGTCAGCCTGAACTCAATAGCTGGAAAGATCATGGAGCAGGTCCTCAAGGAAGCTATAGTGAAAGGAGAGCAAGGTGATCAGGAAGAACCAAAATGGATTCACCACACAAATCGTGTTGGCAAACATGATTTCCTAATTTGAGAAAGTGGCAAGCTCTACGAATGGGGGGAGCAGTAGCTGTGATATACTTTGACTTTATCAGGGCTTTTGACACTTTTTATGACAATTATTAGAAAGCTAAAGAAATGCAGACTAGAGGAAAGTAGTATAAAAATGGACACATGACTGGTTGGATCATCTAGCTTCCAATGTAAGTGTCCAACACACTGAGCTCTTGTCTGGAAAAAGTAAAAGGTGTCTCTCCCTCACTCTTTTGGTAGTGACCAATGTATGCACTCAGCCACACAGATAGGGCTACACATGCAGAGACAAAATGCCAAGCTGTACATAAGTGACATTTTTGGCCCTCTAATGACCATGTAGACAACTACATTAGAACACTTCGGGTGACAGCCTATATTTTGACGATAATCTCAGGAGCCATTTTTTGGTTGTCTACAAGGCACTTCTGACACTTACATGCCCAGGGGTATCCTATTCCTGGATCCCTCTGGGTGCTTATGTCACCAGACCGACTACAATAAAAACAGATGTTTGTCTCCAGACCAACCCCAACAAAAGCAGAGATATTTTTCTCCAAAGATCTGAGGGGCTAAGACAGGGGTAGGCAAAATAGTGCATCTGGCCAGTGGCTGGATACCATTTCCAAGCAGCCCCTGCCTGTGTCACTGTGGCCAATTTTCATGGCGACCACAGAAATGGTAGGGCTGTGACAGTGCAGTCCATCATGGACCCAATCTAGTCCACAGGCCAGACTTCGCCCACTCCTGGGATAAGATGAGTACTTTAGGAAGTGAGAGTACATGGATACTAGGCTCCCCTCATCCACAGGTAATTTCAACCTAGTCTGACTGGCCAAGACAGGATATATATATGTGGAATCTCTCTCTCTCTCTCCCTAGATATCTCTCTTTCTATATATATATATGCTTATTATATATCCTTATAAGCATATATATGAAGCATATATATATAGGGAGAGAGAGAGAGATTCCACATATATATTCCTGTCTTGGGCAGTCATATTTCACTTATTCACTTTTTAGTGCTCAAGTGACATTGTAAATAACTGCACCTCTCTCTCTCTCTCTCTCCCTGTGTGTGTGTATATATATACATATATATATACACACACTTGAGCACTAAAAAGTGAATAAGTGAAATATGATTGATCCTTAAGTGAGAATTTGTTGTGGTCACGTCCATTTGGGGGATGTCCAGTCAGAAACATTGAATAGAATTACTCTTTGTGCATGAAGGCCAAAAAGTACCATGTTTAGGGACTTCCATTTCTTCATTCATGACTACGGCAGCAACTTTTCTCTCACTCTTTCTCCAAGTGCTACTTGGGCCAGGTCCTAGTCCCCAAGTCTTTGCCATAGCTTGCATGATACCACAGTGTAGAGTTGCAGGTGACACAAGCATTACAACTTCTGCTTTATATGTGGGAGCATTTTTGCAAATAAGAGTTCTCATGCATTTCTGCATTTTCCTTCTCTCTTCTTGTAACCTC